AACTCATAATTGCTATGTGATTGTGACAATGTTTAATATCACAATACCTTATTAGGCGATCGGAATGCAACGCGAACCTGATCGCTTACTGGCAGGGTCGCCAACCTTACACAGTAATATGATTTCTAAACTTGGCAACATTTATATTTATGTAATATTAAAAAAAAATCTTTTGGATAAAACGTATAAAAAATTAAAACATACAGACATGTGGCAGTGGGCGGGCGGCACATTGCATTGTAATATTATTGAGCGAAATTTTCTGTAGTCAAATCCATTTCGATGCAATGAACAGACTCTTTAAATCTCCGCCAATTTGTAAAACCCATTGACATGAAATTATTAAACATTTACAGATTCACAAAGAGTTCTTAATTCGAAATTTAAATAAATTTATCATTACCTGCTTTTCTTGCTGGCCTATTCTGTAAACTTTCAGTGCGACCCACGTACATGACACAAAATAAAAACACCTTTAAGAATCTAATTTACAAATTTTACTCATAGTGTGAATTTGTAAACAACAACAGTTCAATTTAGATCCCGATCTTCTTACTTCTCCTATATCTGTTTTCATTCAAAAAAACTTAGGTTCGACGATATCAAAGTGGGCGTGTCGGTCGTGACAAATAACAATCATTTAAATTAATAACCTCAATCCAATACTAATCAAAATATTGTGCGTTACACTATGAAGACATTATTAAAGAGTGTTTACCAGTGGGGTGATATTAAATATCGTTATTTGAAGGTATTGAAGTCTTATCGTTCGCAGCCGAGGATACATGCATTGTCACTTACCTTTATTGCAATTCTTTGTTTGATCACTTAAATCTTTCTCTGGTGCAAAAAAATTGCAAATCTAATAATCTGCATATTATTGATCACTTTCAATGCCTTACGTAAATCCTTATTACGATAAAAATTAACAGCCAAAAGATTATTTTTATAACTGCTGCTTATTTTTATACTTTCTCTGCTACTGTAAAAATGCAGCCCCAGTGAAATTATTTTATCATTTTGTTTACAAACCAATATACGAGTATATATCTATAAAAGAAGAAACTGTCAGACTGGTTCACAGGCTGATCGATTAACGCACAGCTGAAACCGCTGTGTCTAGAAGCATGAAATTAGTATATTCCTTAGGTGACGTAGGTGTGGCCTAAGAAAGGATTTTTGAAAATTCTACCCCTAAGGGTGCAAAATGGGGGTTTGAAAGTTCTATGATATTTCGTTATTTTTGATAGTAGCGTTTTCAAACTCGAGAAAAACTTTATTAAAAGTAATAAAAACGTTACTTATGTTGCAAAACTACCCATAAAAAGGGAACTATCGATTTCTTATCGATTCCAAACTCTCAGTACAATTATTATTCTATATAAAAAAACACATTTTTTTTTAAGTTGTATACAAAGTAAGCAACATTTATGTATATAACTGTTGCTATGAATATTTCCGAAGGCACTCTCCTATTTTTAATGGAACCTACTGGCGGAACCTTTGGGCGGTCACTACAAATTTTATTATACAAAATTAAATAATGTGTCAAATATTAAAAGAAATAACTTAAAACTGAAGTTTAGAGATGTGCCGGGCTGGTTACTTTATAAATATATTTATTTTAATCATAGAGATCTTATTGTTACTTTTTTATGATATAGGGGGAAAACGAGCAGACGGGCCACTTGATGGTAAGTGAATATACATGAAAACCTGAAACTTAAAGACTCACATGTGCGCTACCGCCCTTTGAATCCATCCCCCCAGAATCAGCGAGAGTGGGAGGGTTTAGGTTCCGGTCACTTCACTCATTTAGTGAAAAGCAACGAAAGAACCGCTCAACGCCAGTTTTCAATAAAGCCGGTTAACACTCCGGTCGAGCCTGGCCCATATGTGCCGAAACACCTTAAAAATAGTGATAAAACCTCTAACATCCGTATTAACTATTCTGGTTCACAAGTGACCACGACGGGCTAACAGCTTTCCGGTAAACTACATGAAACGTGACGTAATTTAACGAAAAGCTGTCAGCGTATCGTGCTTGGCACTGCTTTATTACCACCGCAATTTCAAACATTTACATGTTTGTTAAAGTTATATGAGTATTTGATGGGTTAACGCGATATACATCGTAGGTAGGTGAAAATGTTATTACTGAAACTACCGAAAAATAAAAATAAAGAAGAAATAAAATTAAGTATAAAAGGAAAATAGTAATCTGAGTTTTGTAAGTTCCTTACGGTCCCTTATTGACTAACAAGCTAATTACGATATATAACACCTCAAACAAAACTAAGACTACAGTCTTGCGAAGTATAGCTGGAGGTATTACGTATATTGGTTTCCACACCTACCAGATGTGAATCTGATCCTTAGAGCTCCTAAGAATTTAGTATGAGGGCGGCATTGACTAACAATACCGTAGTATATATAAACAGTTTAAAAGCACTTTTTGCAACTTCATTTAAATTTTTAATAAAAGCCGTTTTAAATCTATCATGTACACTGAATAGAAAATACTACTACTACTACTACTAAAATAAACTAAAATTTGTATATTTATAAAAAAAAACGTATGTTCTAACAATGTCAATGTATAACAGCGAGCAGCTGACCACATGGATGAGAAATATCAAAGTGATTTAAAGTCGCTCTATTTATTGACATACATAGCATTTGAAAAATCGATAATTAGATACCACTAGATCCCAACTCCTAAGTATACTTCTGTCTGCCCTAATAATAAATAAACTTTGACTCAATCGTATCGAGGTCAATCTATAATAAAGAATTCTATTAGGCCATCCATGGCCTCAGAATAAAAAACAACATTTATTATACTTAACTTGTCAAAAAATACCGTAAAATTCCTAATGTTTTTTAAAAACAATATCGTTAAATAGACATATGTGAGGTACACAAATTACCTCTTACATATTGCTCTATTGAAAAGTTCAGGCGCTTTTAATAATTCATGCAAGGAAACAGTTAAAGATAGCCAAATTACCGACATTTACTATACTAAGTGATAAAAGGTATGTTTGGTGTCTACACTAAATACGCAACTAATAAGGATACTATTAGCTTAGTTTACGAAGCAAATAAATAAAAAAAAAACATAATGGCATAGGTATTTTTTTATTCTGAATAAAACGAAAATAATACAGGAAGCCTTAAACTAAATATAACTTAACTAATGTTCACAATCAACGTTGACATTTTGATTATATGTATATCAGTCTGATTCGTCTTTTTGATAGTAAAGTATAATAATACTCATTTACTTTGTAATAGACACGGAAATAATTGCTACTATTAAATCATATTCATTTGATGAATTTATTGTTTTCGGTCACTATGATTTCACCTGTGATGAATCGCTGCCTAGATTTATAGTAAAAGTTTAATGGCATCAGAATCAATCAAACCGACCTTTTTAGACCTTTCGCGTGTCCCCCGCTAGCGTAATAATAATGATTAGTCGCAGTGATGTAGTAAATGAGCCACAGCTGTGATGGAATTATTTTAAAATCATATGATTATATACAGGTGTTAGCGATTTTATACCATGCCTACTTTGTAATGTGATAGATAACGAAAGACTTACTAACTAAATATTCAACATACTGTCATGTAGGTAAAATATTATAATTACATTCAATGTTTCCAAATTATTCTGCACGACTTTTATCTCTTTATGATAAATAGACATAGATGAATTGCAGGAATGTATAAGAAATTAGATGAATTTGTCACAAGGTATTTTTTGTTTTTGTAAAGAGTTACATTTATTTTGTCAATATGAGGGTATCTTCGGACCACGTCAATAATTACCAAATTGCGAATCATTACAATGATGACCATTTATATACAAAAGAAATTATAATAAATATTTATTTAATAAAACAATGCCAAACTTCGCATTTAATTTAGAAACATTCAATACAAAATTAAAATAGTTTTGTAAAAATTATTTAAAAATAAATGCAAATAATAATAATTTATAGTTATTGGAAACATAAATAATCAAAATTACCGAATGAAATTACACATATATATAGCACCTAATAAATGCGAAGTGCACCAATTAACAATATTATGATACTCATAAAAAACTAAATGATGAAGCATTTTGGACAACTTCAATTTAACATAACAAAGTTTAAAAAAAAATACATAGAAAGCGACAACATAGATAAAGGAAGTTGCCCAAACGCTTGGTCTATCTGTTCTGCTTTTAAATCGAATTAAGAAAATAACGACGTAACTGACCAATAATGAAAAAAAAAAACATACGACATACTAATATTAAATAAAAAAGGAACTTTTGTTTTATTTTCTTAATTCGAAAGAAATATCGTACGAGAATGTTTGACAAAACTATTTTGTTACATAACTTACAACTACAATAGCACCTTACTAATAAAAATAAAATATTATATGTACATGTAACACTAATATACTCTTTAATAAAAACTTTGGAGCACCATAAGTGGAAGGTTTTAGATACGAGGGCGCTAAACAGATTAAATGGAGACTGTTTCAATAACAAGGAAAAATTGTCATTTTAATATTTCATGAATAGAGATATTGATATCACGATTAGGTTAAGTTACAGTGACCATCACGAGCAGAAAGTTACCATGAGTAAGGAATTGTAATTTACCAGTAACGTCTAATTCCTGTAATTTTAGTGTCTCTAGAAATATTTCTACACGCGCTCAAAGTACATATTATACGTCTCATTTCTTGAATATCAGGACTCTAGAATATCATGAATATCATGCATAAAATATACTACAAGACTAATAATTGCAGTAATACATAAATAAATAGTTATTCTATACAGGCGATGAGTTTTTTATCGTGGAACTAGACGTTACGACCACATATGACAGCACTCAACAGAAAATAAATTTATGGTTTATTCAACTTCAAAATATGCTCTCGCCTCCAAATTTAATCATAACATTGATGACACTGGTTCTTACTAATTACTAGCTATTACTAATGTCACTTTGCGACATTTTTCTAATTCGTATTTCTTCTACAACCTCCATAATTAGCTGAAATGTATGAAAGTGGTATATAAAATATTTTAATAGGTAATTGGAGTAGACATGCCATGCAAGCCAGTGATGTGCTCATACAGAAAAATAACATACATGTGCCAATCGTAATTGGATGTATAGAGTTATAAAAATAATTATTTAATTACATCAGGGTTTTCTGACCTACTAGTTAGACCACGTTAAGAGAAGAAGATGATTATTTTATGGTGCTAAAATGAATTACATTGCATTGGAAACGATCCAAATCAGAACTTTTTTAGTTTTGTAATCATAATCTTATAATTATATCATTAATAGCACGTTAAATAAGTATTTTTATAACTCAATACAAGAACATATAGGTACGTAGAGCATAACACCGTTATTTAGAACTAACCTGGCTCAAGGGCCTGATCCTTTCGTGAATACAGTTTTCGGCCTGTCTAGCTGATGGTGGCGGATGATCAGGGGTGGGTGGTTGTTCGTAATGCGTCGGTGATAGTGGAATATGAGCTCTAGGACCTTCGTAGTAACGCTCACAATCACTTGGACTATTCATTGATTGGTCGTCCAGCAAACTTTCAAGCGAGGACTTTTCTTGGTGAGAGTATTTTCTTACTCTTCCGTCACTCATTCTCTGATCGTAGTTGTCATTGGTCGGTACAAAATTGTTTCTTCTGAGTTTTCTTCTGGGGTTTTGTTCTTTAATGACAACGTTCTCGTACATAGCAGTTATGGCGACGGGTTGTGAGCGTTGCTTCAAGCTTGGTCGAGGGTTTGGAATAGGAACTACTCGTGGAGAATTATGATTTTCCTCGTACTCCGAGTAGGAGAGCTTCCCGTCAACGTATTGGTCCACCGAACGACCGTGTTTGAGGTAGTGTTTTGCACCCTGGAACAAAGAGATTAAATACACATTTCTAGATGATTGTGTTCATAATAATGTTAAAATTTAATATTGTGTACGAATCGTTGTTTTAAAAATAAATATTTAATACAAGCAGTTAAATCTTTGTTTCTTGAATTGAATTAAAATTCTTCGTTGCGAATTAAAATATTTGTAAATTGCGCAATGGAATATAGAACACATTGGAATTGTATGAATCTGTATTACTTCCTATTTATTTAAAAGTGATTTTTCACATTCAAAATAACAAATCTAGGATTTTAAACAAAACAACAACATTGTTGAATAATTGCAATTTGATTGCAATTCGTTGTTACAGTTTTCTTCCCAAAAGCCTAGACTCATCCTTTCCATATACTGACATTGATCAGGACTAGATCCAGGTCGGTACTCGAAAAGAAAAAATCTTAATTATATTATATAGGTATTTACGTATTGTAATAAATTTACATGTAATTAATAATATATTATAATAATAATAGTAACAACAACAATATATAATAATATGTTAATAAACGAGTACACAGGTATCAATATTATGTATAAATATATATTTGTTAAAATTCGGTGAAACTTGATTTAATAAATAAAAGCATTCTTGAATCCGTTCTAAATGTTGTACTCGATTCTCTTATCAGATATGTCATCAGTTAAAAAAAATAGAATATTTCACAATTTACCATGTCGAATTCAACCTATTCTACACTACTTTTAAAAAAACTTACAATTATCATTAAAAATAAGGATTCCGAATATTCAAATAATTTAGAGAATTTCACCTTAAAATCATTCCGTATTAGCCATAGCACTACACCGGTTGCGTTAAGAGAAGTTTAATATCGTATACGAATACAAACCGTACATTACCCATAAACCAATTCCCACATCCTAACTACATTACCTGTATGTCATCCAAATCGTCCTGACTTCTCGCATGCGGCCTCAACTCATAGCTGTAGCCCGAAGAAGGGGAGTTGGCGTGGGTGGGGGACACTGACAGGTTCCTCCGTGGAGGTTTCTTGGGAGGGGTGGGCTGTAATATATAGATCAGTGTTACGGTTGGGTACGAGGAGCTTCAGAAGTGATCATTTAAGTAATGCTTACAGCAGTCTAATTAAAAAGGACATGATTTTATTTATATGCAAAACAAATGTTATTAAATATCAAGTAAGGTGCCGCAGTTAAAATTTATTTATATGTACAAAAATAAAATAAAAGTGAAAAAGTTAAAGAAAAAATAATTCCACTACAATTAAAATGAACGATTATCAAGTTTGTTTTTCCGATTAATCCGAGTAGTTGTAGACTTATCATTGGCCAATTCAGGGCCATAGTTACATCACTAATTGGAAATTCAGGAATGGGGAAAGATAGTACGAGTACATATACCAGATATCATTACATCTGGTAAATATATTCTATGCTGCACTACTCTACAGACTTATAAACAACGGGTACTAAAAGGTTTAGACAATATTACAATTAATAGGTTAATAATTAATATATACGACTTCTTCATTTGTTGTTAAATCTACGGCTTTCGTACTGATAGAATATATATTATGTAACCATGATATATGTATTATACAATAATTTATCTAGAATTTATTAAATTTATATATATCGATTTCTTGGAAAACCTGGATAACTTTTGTTAATTATTACAAAAATCACAGATGTCACGATGCAGTTATCGGTATGACCATTACTTTACATCGTTTCCTAACTCTTCAATTTGGCTAAGTTTTGAATGTATGGTAGGCCAAAACCTCCTTTCTAAGGAGAGGCCTATATACAGCAGTGGACTATTAATAAAGGCTGTTGATGTGTGATGATGTGACACCGCTTTATATACTCTATTTGTTTCAAACTATTTAGGTTATTTAAGACAAAAATGTCTATCAAAATTGGAAAAATAGCCTTTGTTTTGAACCTCAAAGACAGCAAGAAATTTTGAATTGTTTTACGCTTCTTTATTTATTCTTGTATATGATAACGGATATGACGTGTGGTTTTATTTGGCTGGGCTCCGAACCAAATTTCATACGATAAAAAGGTAAAATAAAATAAAGAATTACATTATTTAGAATCTTTTTTTTTATTTTTTTTTTAATTTATTTTTAACATACATTGAAACACTAATTAGATAATTGTTACCGTGAGAGGACCAATGAGACAGATTCTATTTCTGATACATCTCGTTTGTCATCGCAAAACCCAGATAAGTGCCCGCAATTGAGTAATAGGAAATTTGAATGGTGATGAGTGTGACATGTGTAGTCGGTACAAGTCACGAGCATTGGAGAAGCTTAACAAATTATTCGATGGAACATCTCCTATGAATGACTTCAGTAGAACGATAGACTTATCTTGTAATGACGAAATTGGATCGGATGAAATTATGTAAGCGATTAGATATTTTAGAGAAGGTAAATTTTCTGGGTATAATGTCTATTGAGATGTTGAGAGCTGGGGTGTTGAATGTTGCACCATCAATTTAATTTTTCTTTCTAAATGGTTACAGTGATGGCGATTATCTCAATATGTCAGGCACGCTAAAATCGGTTAAGAATCAGATTTCTCAGACTTTTCACCGCCAGGATAGTATGTATAACCGATGAAAAAATTTAATAGGTGCGGATAGGATAGGATTAGGAAAGAGGACGCAAACGAACGGGTAGAACAAGTATCAGTTTCGATAGTTGGTTATTCTATAATCGAAAAGGATACTGCAAAGTTTACCGATTAATCTAGTTTATTGGGTCTACTTCGACTGGTCAGCTTAGTTTAAGCTGATGGCTTTGAGCACTTGGAAAGAATTAATGAAGCACAAGGTAGACCCCGCAAAATTTACCATGATCAAATGTATGTTTTAAATTAAACTGCCGCAACATTTCACCCAGTTTGCTGACAAATCTTTTACTGTGCAAGCAGTAAGACTTTGGAACAACTTGCCTTTGACAATCCGGAAAGCTAAAACCTTGCCCGCTTTCAAAAAGCTAGTGAAGGATTTTTATCTGACATTATAAATACTGTTGGTTTCATTATATATAGTATATATTTTGGACTGTATTATGTATGTCTATTAAATATGTATATATATGTATATCTATATAAATATGTATATGTATATTTTTAAATTTTGTTTATGTATGTGTGTATGTATGTAAGTATGTGTATTTATCTATGTGCAATGTGAACAGATGTTTATTTATGTATGAATGCTTTTGTTTATATTTTAAATATTCACGTGATAATGCGTTACGTGTATGTAAACTACCCAACTTTTAAATAACTAATATCCGTATCGAGGTTGTCTGGAAGAGATCGCCGTGAGCGATAAAACCGCCGATTGTTACGTCTATATATTTCTAATGTCTTATGTATTAACTGTAAACAATAAAGATATAAATAAATAAAAATAAAATAAACGATAATAGGCCAGGTCAGGAGTACCAACTGTTCAATAACTGTAGAGTAAACGCGTGAGGTAAAAAAAGAAGCAATGATGGACTGTTACCTCTGTCTATCCCTACTTCTAATCATAGCCTCACAGAAGTGCCCATATCACAAAAACGAATTTATAAAAGCATTTAGATTTATGGCCGAAATTAGAAATCGAAATAAATATTGTTTCAAAAAGAGATGCTAGACAACTTTTATTGACACAATATTTTCTATTTCTTTTATATCGAGAAACTGACACAATACGCAATTAATTTTAAAACATCTCAATTAACATTCCTACAATACAGATTAGATTGCAGAATATATCGACTAAGATATGTTTCGATAAAAAGAACTCAAAACAAATTTCAAAACGAAAAAGATGATTATGTTGTCACCATTTCATTACGTATTATTCATCAGCCGCCATTCTCTTAACACTTGGGTCGTATCTCGTGGCCCAACTGGTCCAAGTAATTCAATAGCACGACGCGGATGAGGGGTAAATTGGATGCAGCCGGTCACTGAATGGGCAATTTTCCACACAAACCCGTATTAGCCTACACGGGACACAGATTCGCGGAAAAGCGTGGGCATTGCAAAATTATCGAGACAAAGAAATTAGGTTAAATAATCCTTTTAAGACTTGTTTTCTTGTTTTCTGGTAAATTTCATTAACATAATAATATATGTTGTAGACTTCTGCATCATGTTTCGCACTTGATGGTAAATGACTACCGAACTACTATGAATCCGTAAGAAAACAAAATATGAGCATATTCCTAGTTCGTATAGGTCATCATATCTTACAGAATCAGAATGACAAATCAAAGTCCAGTTAGCAATAGTTAGTCACGAATAGGAAACGAACTAGTCCAAAAATACAAGCCAAGTTTTCAATTAGGTACTACCGGGTTTTAAGCTTTTTCCATAAATTCGGATACCATCCTAAACTATTATACTTTGTTATATAGCTGACAATACTTACATGTTTATTGACAAATCTGCGACTTTACTCTCATAGACTTTTTTTAATATTCGACAAAGAAAAAATAATACACATTTATTTCTACTTGCTATTATAAACCATCTACTTCGGCCCAGTTTATTAAGTAAACTACAATTTTGGTAATGGAAATGATAAAACAATATGTTAACTCCACAGAAACAGCAAAGCAAAGTTAAAAAATAAAATATTAGGCAAAATTTCGGCTATTTTTATCTTACAAATCTTACAGCTCCAATATCTTGAAAATGATTAGGTTTGGGATATGGTGTTTAACAGTAAAATGTATCATAAATGATGGCAACTAGAACAACTTAAGTATATAGGACGAATTAACCAGTAACCCTGTATACTATATTAACAAGTACAGCAGCACATTAACGGCACAGTCCTATCATATCTTTTTATTTATACTAAATACGTGCCAACGGAAGAAAAGTTAAGGAGTAACAGGTTATTTTAGTATGTGCAAAGAAGTGAGCAAAATATGGCAAAGAAAGTCTTATGTATGGAAGTTGATGGATAAAAGAGAAATGAGTTAATGATGAAGACGAGATGCGTTAAAGAAAATTTGGCCAAACGGCGAGTAAGTAGTACGTAGATGAATGATAGAGATTGGAAAACAAAACTCGTTGCGACGACCCCAAATAAATTTGGAAAAGAGGAAGATGTCTTTTAAATATACCAAAGTCGATGAAACTATTCATAAAAAAAACATTATAGACAATTTTTTTGTTTACCTAACAACCAATCTCTTATCACCGTATCTGCCGTAATTTGAGCCTCTTTTCAATTAACCGGCCATTATGAAACCGCTAACAATTTTCAATTTCATCGAATTTCTAATCAGACCATTGGCCAATAACAGGTGGCTAGGTTAAAAGGTTAAAATTCGCTAATTGCAATAGTAAACGGTTCGAACACCAATAAACAGTCAATAAACGTTTACGCACAAATGCGTGGTGTTTTCACGGTGACCTATTTACCTGCTCTGTTTAAACAGCAAACGAAAATCGTGTATGTTATTTTAAACTTCATACGTTTATCTAAATAAATAGATTTCTATTAAAAGCACGGTAACTAGATACGAGATCACATCATCATCTGCCTACCCTTTTCCCAATTTTATTTGGGGTCGGCGCAGTATGTATGATTTTTCCATACTACTCTGTCATGCGTTATCTCACTGTTTACTCCCTTCTTAGCCATATCCTCCCTCACGCAGTCCATCCACCTTTTTTTACGGTCTGCCTCTTCTCTTGTACCCTTCAACTCCCATACCTAAAACTTTCTTCGCCACATTTTCCTCAATCCTCCGCATGACATGTCCATACCAAGATAACCTATTACTTCTTAACTTTTCATGCAGTGGCGCTACTTTCAGACTTCCTCGTATATACTCATTCCTAACCTTGTCCATCTGAGTCACACCACACATCCATCTCAGCATTCGCATTTCGGACGTTCAGGCGTCTCTCATCCGTTCTCTTAATGGGCCAACTTTCAGAACCATACAGGACGGCAGGTCTGATAATAGTTTTATAGATTTGTCCCTTCAGTGTTAAGGGGAAACTGGGGTT